TGATGGCTACTAATTTTTATTTTAGGCATAATGTTTTAAATGCATTGAAGCATAATATTTTGCATAAGATGAGAAGAAATAAGTTCAAGTTAAGAAGCTCTTGCAAATTCAATTCATGCATATCATAACTCAAGTAAGATATAAGAAAATGCTAATCAAGGAATTCCCTTCGAAGATTAAATGAAATCGTGATTGTACTTTGAAATATACTTATAACCCTTCTCCTTATTTGTTTTTCTTTTGTATAGGATAAGATGTTGTTTAATATACGCATAATGTTGTTCTTAAGCCCCCATGGTATATTTTTTGATATGGGCTGCTGTATAGCCTTTATTTATCATTTTGATCGTACTTATAAGTACATTGAAATTATTGTTTTTTGTTCTCAATCTTCACATTTACTTGTTTTTTTTTTTAGACAAGTCAGTCGTCCTCCATGTTACATTGCTAAACCTGCATCTTTTACAAGTTAACATGCTTGTCATACATTGTATACTACTTAAAAGGAGAGAAATTATTGTGAGTGTTCCCTTATTTATTTTTTGTATAAGGTAGGATGTAATTTGACTTAGACATAATATTTTTCTTATTTCCTATGGTATATTTTTTTATTTGGGTGCCCTATAGTCTTTGTTTATCATTTGGTTTATACTTGGCACAATGACAAACATAAACTAATGGAATTATTGTTGTTTTTGTCATATTTTTTCTATTCATAGTCCCCTTAGATATTTACTTTTTTCCATTGAAAATTCGATTATTCTTTACATAAAATTATTGAATCGTCACATGTTAGTATGACAATTACACATAATATATTGTGAATTACATGTAAATCAAATATAGAGAGAGCCCCCACTGTTAGTGCCCTTCTAATTACATGAAAATGACAACTAATTACATGCAAATCAATATAAGAAAAAAATTTGAGAGCATACCTGAGGAATACTCCCTCCGGTCCAGAATATAAGCATTTTCCTTAAGCTAACTTTGGTTTAAAATATAAACAACCTAGTACATGTAAAAAAATCACAATTTTATCCCTTGTATTTATTAACCTAGATATTTGTGTAAGTGTATGTCTCACTCATCATGAAGTGCTTTGGTAATTTAAACTAAGGGCATAAAGGGAAAACAATATACATTTTTTTGGGAAATGGGACTTTATCAATATGCAGATTTTTCTTAAAAATTGCTTATATTTTGAACTGGAGGGAATAATTTACACGTAATCTCTAGCGAATTATATGTAAATTAATCACACAAAGAAGACATCCCAGTTAGTGCCTCAAATTTACATGTAAACCACCATTGATCACATGTAAATCAACATAGAAAAAAATTTATAAACATGCCTAAGGAATAATTTACATGTAATATCTAGTAAATTACATGTAAATCAAAAACAAAGATAACACACCCTTGTGAATGGCCAAAATTTACATGAAAATGGCTACGATTTACATGTTAATCTATAGGTGAAGAAATCTGCGAGTATGATTGAGGGAATGATTTACATGTATTCTCCAACAAATTACATGTAAATCAATCACACAAAGAGTATGCCCTTGTCAACGCCCTAGAATTACATGAAAATGATCATGAATTACATGTAAATCAAATTGCTATAACACAAGCCATAATCTTTTTACCTTAAACTAGAAGCCTTGCACCCTAAGCAATAGCACATGTATCCTAAGTCAAAAGCCTTATACTCTAAGCCATAACATATGCACCTCAAGCCAGAAGCCTTTTATCCGAAGACATACTCTTTACACCGTAAGCTATAGCCCTTGCACCTCAAGCCAGAACCTTTACACCTTAAACTATAACCCTTATACCCAATCTAAAGTTCTTACATCCTTAACCAAAACCCTTGCAACCAAGCTAAAATTCTTGCACCCTCTAGTTATTGTATTTACATGTAATCCTTAATGATTACATGTAATCAAGGGGTAAATATTTTTTTTTTTTACGACCTTTCACTTGCCAGTCAGAGCTTTAGCAGGCATACCATCACCTATCGAAGGAGGGGCCAGAGCTCTAGCTATCAAATTTTGAGCCTTTTTGAAAAAAAATTAATTATCATAAAGGGTATTTTGGTTATTTGTTTAAATTATTTAATGAATAAAATATTAGCCTTGGTCCTTCAATTACATTTGGTCCCTAAGATTAATTTTGTTTCTAAATAGGTCCTTTTCACTAATTTTCCCTAAATAATTTTTATAAATCTAAATTTTCATTAATCCAAACACAACATAAAGAAGATACACTCTTTCTAGCTCTATTTATATAATTTGTATGATTATAATTATAAAATTAACATATTACAATTAAATAATTAAAATTATAATGATAATTTGAAACACATGAGGAAGGAGAGGTGAGGGAGGGGGTTAACTGGCAATGCAAATAGACAAAGGAGGTGGTAAGGAGAAAAGAAGGAAGGGGCGTGGCAAAAAGGATTTGATACGCTTGCCACACTTCTTTTTTTATGTAAAAAAAAATTAAAGATACATAACTCGATTTAATTGAAACCAAGTTTTGTACTTTTATATTTTAAAGTTTATATCAAATTGAGATCCAAGTTTATTGTGGGAAAAAAATTTTGAGGTGTAGTATGTGGATAAATAATTTTTTTTGTAGTATTTTAATAAAATTGCTATTTTTATGGAAAATTTAATCACGTCATATCATAATCTAATCATTAGTGAAACCAAATCCAATGACTACAACGCCGTGAACGATGCAATAGGAGTTTGTAACGATGTTGGAATAAAACTATATGGTACATGGGGGATCCAATCCCCTTGCTATGCAAGGCATTTTTGGCTTCGATGCTCATCACTTGATGAGTATCCGGACTGTCCAAGCATTACTGTGGTTCGTTATTTGAGAAAGTGAGAAGAAGAATATCAGGGTGGAAAGGAAAATATCTCAATCTCACAAGTAGAACAACTCTAGTTAAATTTGTGATTTCTACTTTGCCATCATATCTCATGCAAACAATGCTTCTACAAAAAGGGTCCTTCAGGAAATGGAAAAAGATAGCTGAGATTTTCTCTGGGGAAAATAATGAAGAAGAAAGAAAAATCCACCTGGTCTCTTGGAAGAAGGTATAAAAGGAAAAGAAAATGGGGGACTAGCACTCAAAGATCTATGCTGCCAAAATGAAGCCTCAATCATGAAATTATGTTGGAATCTTATCTCTAAAAGGGAAGCCCTCTGGGTCCGTGCTTCTAACCAAATGCAAAAGGGGCAATTCTACAATACCTATTGTCAAAAAAAAAAAAAAAAAACAAGCTTTAGAGACTTGGAAGAGTATCTGTAAAATATGGAACTAGTTCATCAGAGGGGTTGAATGCAAGCTTGGATCGGGTAGCCGAATTCGATTCTGGTATGACAAACGGACTGACATTGATGAACCACTGATTAGTTTAATGTCTAATGTTCATGCAGACATTGATTTGGAGGAGAAGGTCTTATATTTCTTCAAACCTGATGGCTCATGGAACCATAAATAGATGGAAACCTAGCTGCCACTTGATATTGTAAATAAGATTACTGATACTCAAATCCCTGGTGAGAGAAGAGGTGAGGATAAGATTATATGAAAACCATCCAATAATGGTTCTTTTTCTATAAAATCCGCGTACTCCTTTATTTATGCAGGTACAGAAGAGCATACGGACCCAGTCTGGAGAATCATTTGGAAAGCACCTGTCCTAGAAAAAATGAAGACGTTTATCTTGCTATTAGTGAAGAATAAATTGCACACGGCAGAGCTTAAAGCACAAAGAAGGATGGATGAGTCTGTAAACTTTCATTTTGGGTGCAACGAAGCAGAAACAAGACTACATGTGATGAGAGATTGCCAAATAACAGGTGTGATCTGGGAGGAATTAATAGAAGCTAACCAATGGAAGAAATTCCTAAGTCTTGATACCGCTCAATGGATCACTTATAATTCAAAACAAGACATTAGGAAACCTAACACAAAATAAGTACGTTGGATTTTTCTCTTCAATTAGTTGGGAACTTTGGATTCTTAGATGTAAAAGCCTTTTTGATTCGGAAGATAATATCCCTATTATGGATGCAAAGAGATGTATTATGAAAGCACATGTTGATCAACATTTATTGAGGAAAATCGAAAATAAAAGGAATCAGTTTAGACAATAATATAGATAGCACCTACCTACTCTAAGTTTTGTTAGAATTGATGTTGATGGTTCAGTCTTGCCAAATAAACAAGTAACTTGTGGAGGTGTTATCACAAATGTTATAGAAAACTATATCAGGATTCTGTTGTGAATTAAAGGAAGTCCCTCCAACTATTATGGAACTTATTGAAATCAAACTTGACTTAGAATTTTGTTGGCATCATGGATTCAATAAAGTTGACTATTCAGTAGTTGTATTGTTGCCTTGAATCTTCTATATTGGGAACAAGTTTTCAATCATCCTTTTTAAGAAATTGTGGATGAGACCAAACTTATTCTTTGTAAAACATGGACTATTAATTTACATTTTATGTTTAGAGAAACTAACTATTTTACCCACTTCTTAGCTCACTCTTATCACTCTTTTAATGATGTGCTATATATTTATTATCAAAAACCACCCTTCCTTAATGAAGGTAGTTTGTGATAGATTTTTTTATTATGTATTCATTTTGAGTTAGTTATATATTATCCTTTTTCATTAAAAAAAATTAAACTATTCAAATTACATTTAAATCGTTAATTTATAAAAATTATAAAAATATTCAATATTAAAGTGAATCAATTATATTAAATCTGTATTATCAAAATTAATGATAAAATAAATTTATTATTCTTTATCATTTTTATTTTAATAAATATAAAAATAAAACCTCTAAATTGGGACCATCTATGTTGCTCTTGACCCATGAACACCACACCGAAACCGGACGCCCAAGGCACCATCTCTCTCGCGTTTTACTATTGTCAGCACATGGTAATGAGTATTTTATAGAATAAAAAATAACCCCGGCGACTTCAACTGTTCGATATCTTATACATTGATGATGCTGCTAATATCAAATTCCGATGTGAGGCCTGGCCATCGAAAAATGACCAGGAATGTTTATGTGAATATATTGCTTCTTAAAACTACACCCCTCGCCGGCAAATCTCTCACAAACTACATTCTTTAAGATCGTCTCCTACTCTTCAAGTCCGCATGAGCTGAGAATCGGTTTGGTTTCGAAGAAGCTGCGGTTAATTTTCGATTTCCTGAAACTTTATGAGAACTCAAAGAACGACATTCCAAATGTTGCTCGAGTGCTCTCCCTGAAGAGCCAATGGATTTTGCTGACTTAACTTTCTGATTACCCGCAGAAGTGCAACTTCTGTTCGGTACATGAGCGTCATCAACCTTGGCAATGGATTTTTTTGAACTGTTCAGAGGTGTGCTATCTGAATCAGAAGATGAGGGGCCAGTGCTACTCTCCATGTCATATAATAGGTTCTCTCTCACGTGCGCAACCTGGTCATCGTGTGAGTCACAGCAAGAAGAGGAGGGTCTACGAAGCCTTGAAAGCTGCACAACCTGCAATAAATCGTCAAACTGCACTAAGAAGCATGTTGAATTAGCAGGATACACACAACCAATCTGCTCACTGTCTTCAGAGTTTAATCAAATGTAAAGCCTCCTTGCTTCAATCTCGTGTTTTAGTTAATTATCATGCTATAATAGACATTTTGATATTACTAGCCACATCAACATGTGCGTTCTCACCTTTTGTTCTAAAACCACCAACTCCTTCTTTAATTTTGTAATTGTCGAATTCTTCCTGCGTACAATGTCTTCTAATTCAGCAACTCGCTGTTCCGAATAGTGATAGCCTTGTTAAACAGAGGAAACAAAAGTTGCAACTTGCAAGAATGAAATAGAAATGAAAACCAGTGTAGTTTAAACTACCTTGGATCTGGAAACTTCAGAAAAGTTGAGAAGGTGAGACAACTCCTGTATTTTGGTATCCTTCTCTCTACAATCTCTCTTGAGATTAAGGAGATCTTGCTCTAAAGCCAGGCTGTTTAACTGTGAAAAGCACAACACATGACAACGAGGTCACCACGTAATTTCTATCTAATGGAGCGATTTCTCTTCAAGGTGCTGATTCCAGTTAAAGTCAGGGACATGACTGAAACATACAAAAAATTTGGTGGAACTTCTCTGGCCAGATTTTTAATGATTCAATGACAAAAATCATTCAAAAAATGTAGAATTGCAGCCGATAGCAAGAACCGGTCCATGACAATTAAAAGAGGCAATTAATCTACGCAATATTTGAGAAGCTCGTCCAAATGATCAACCAATGATTTATGAAGAGTTGAATAATGCTACTGATCATGTGACGTAATGCGTATAAAGGAATGCCAGAATACAAATGATGATTATAAGATTATGTGACCTGGAAATCAGAAGCTGATGTTACGCTTGAAGCCCAAGACAAGTCAGACATTCGCCGCTCTTCTTGTTCTTCAATAAATAAGGGTGTTCGATGTAGCATTTCATTCCCACCGGAATCTTCTGTGACTGAGCCTTCCTGCTAACAAATTAAACGAGAATAAAGTTTTTCAGAAAATGATTAGTTATTACTTAAAATTGCAAAAACAAACATTTAGGGGCTACCGCGCAAGTGCCGCGGAAATTTGAAGAGCAACCAACCGCAAATAAGTCAGACTGTTGATCACTAGGCCAGTAATCGCAATCAGCGAATTGAGCTTTCTCAGAGCCACACAGTTCACTCAACAGTAATTCTCCATTCTTTGGCATTGACTTCTTCATTGCCGCAATTGAGTGTTCCTTAGTATGGTTCACCAACTCGCAGAGACTGTCAAGCTTCTCCTGCATGCTCGATAGCACCTGATCCTGATAGATAGTCACGGAAACAATGAAATCAGACAAGACGGCATTTGTAGTTTGAAAAATGAGGGAATCAGACCAACAAAATATGAAAAGGTCGAGAGGGAGTACACGGGCCTACCAGGAGAACAACACAAGTTCGATATTTTATATTGCTGTTTATCATCTAACAGAACATCAGAAGTCTATAATTTAGGAAAAATCGGTAAGAGCCAGTCCCCACATATCCCACTCAACTCAAAATAAAATGAAAAAGTGATCGGTCAGAACGGAATGCATATTTCTCCTGTTTCTTTGATAAAAAAGGCGCCTAGTGATTACTAAGACTTTATAGGCCAATCAAAAGAAAATATTAAAAAAAATGAAAAACTTAACTCCTGGTTAAATCAATAGTAAGAAACAAAGCAAACAAACAGCGAACCCTGAGTTCGACGGACTTCTTCAGCTGCCATATCTGGTAGCTTTTCTTGGATTCAGCAACTGCAACACCGACGACGGCGACGATGAGGAACCTCTGGATGGGAGTAAAGAGCTCCCAAGCGAGGGCTTCTTGTGGGGTTAAACCACCCCGAATGGTTCGGACGGAACTGGCTTCTTCGGAGTTAACCAGTCTTCCCTGGAGAGAGACCCAAGCAAGGTTGGCGGGGGACGACAGGGGTGGAATAGGGTGGAGAAAGGCGGTGGAGAGGCGGCGGCCGGAGGAAGGGAGGATGGGGGGAAGAGAGACGAGAGGAGGAGGAGGCGCTTCTTCGTCCATGGTATGAGCGAGTGGGCTGCAGATGCAGCTGGGTTGAATTGGAATGTGGAATACGGACAGCCAATTATTGGCAACGTTGTAGCATTCAAATTCTGGGATTTGAGAGGGAAAAGTACAGTGTATTCATTCAAATGCGGCCTCAACATTACTATCGTATTTGCATTTTTTAAGGAACATATATTTTTCAAATAATTCCTTTTTGTGGTGTGTCCATTGTAAGAAGTGTTTTTTATTTCTCCGCCTGATTCTATATTTTAATCGTTGAACTAATTGATCAGCCGTTCGTTGCACGGGATGTTAGTTTTACAAATCCTTTTATGTGTTAAATAACAATAATCAATACATGTTAAATAGTTATATGAGTAAAATAATAATAAAAATAACTTCTTGCCAATGATTTAAAGCTCGGATGGTCGGATCATCAACTAAAGCTATTAACAGCTTGATTTAAATCAAAAAATTATTTTTATGATTGAGCTAAATTGAATTAAAGTTGAGCAGCTATTGAGCCAGAAATTAAAGTTAAATTGAGAATTGAAAAAGCTTTAAAAAAATTGAATAATTTTAAATATATACTAAAAAAGTTTAGAAAAATTCAAAAATTAGATCGTACTAAAAGCTAACTTTATTTTTGAACATATAATTTGAAATCATTTTTTTATAAGATGCTGACAATTATATATGCAAATATAAATATTATTGAATTTACTCATATCTAATTTAACTAAAATTTACCTATATTTGACAAGTTATAAAATTATAAGTTATAATATTATTAATTTACGATCATATTATGTTATTTTATTAACATACTATATATATATATATATATATATTTGTATTTATTTTATATATACATTTAATATTATCTTTATTTAACTATTACGTCACTGATCTAACCATGCAAACTATGAATCACTAGACTTTCAGATTCAATATCTAGTTTGATTCTAAAAACATTTCTTCTTGATCAATAAATAATATATAATAATCCAAACAAAGAAAAAGATAGGGAGATAACATGATCATAGATACATTTTAAATTTGAGATAAAATGGATGCAATAATTTGTTACACAAAATAGAGAAAGATAGATAAAAATAGGAAAAAAAATATAAAGGTACAGTACCTTAAGGAGTAAGGAATAGGTGGCTGCCATACATAAGTTTAATTATTAAAAATCTCCTTATACAATACTCCTCTAGTTCTATTTATATGACATTTTCAATATGTTTTATCGAAACCAATAAAAATTTTAAAATTTATTAATTTTGTTTAGAAATTTAATAATTTCTCAACTTTACCTTATTAAATATACAAACTTTAACAATATATTTTATCTTTTTCAACATTCAATGGATATCAAATAAGAAAATTTGTGATAAAAATTTAATGAGGTGATTTATAAATGGAACAAAAAAAAAATCTTCCCTCTTTACCTTGTAAATAAGACCAGGGGGAATACATTGAAGGCGACGTTTGTGGATTTACCATCTATAACAAGAATTAACATCTTCAACCATTGCCTACTTCACACCCAAGATACAATAATATATAGTTGGCCATGTGTAAAAACAAATATTGGTAAGCACAACACAACACTAAACATGTTTTGACCCTGGCTTTTATTCATGGTTGTAGCAAAGGATAATAAAATGTGAAATTGTCTTATATGAAGGATAAATAAAAGTTGAGAGTCAAATTATGCACCCGTTTATATAAGATTAAAAAATAAGAGATTTTTAAATAGTTCAGAAATTTTATAAAAACAAATTAATTTTGATAGGTATTTTATAAAAAGTAGATTATTTTATGTTTGGTTAAAATTATACAAAAAGTGATTATTAATTAGTTATTTTTAAAATTCTATGATATCTTCATTGATTTTTATTTTATAAAAATAATTTATTATATAATTATTTTAAAATTTTATGATATTTTGATGTGTCTTGCAATCTTAATGACATTTTTTAAAATTCTAGTAATTTTTAAAGTTTCAAACAAACATGATAAAAACATTTAAATTCTTTTCTTTTTTCTTTACTAAATGAAATTCATGTAATCATAAAAATAATAATATAATTTAGAGATATGTTCGAGTGGGGAAAATTAGTAAATAAAAATTTTTTGACATAAATTATAATTAAAAATAAGTTTTTTAATCAATTTAGGGATTTATTAGTGTGAGTATTAAGTTAGATAAATTTTTAATATAAATTTTAATAAAAATAAGTTTTTAGAATCTTCTCAGAATATGAAAAATTCTTAATGGATTTAATGGAATGGACTAAACTATATGTCTTCAAAATATAAAGAGATATGTGTAATTACAATAAACTAAAAGGTAGTCGGAGTGTTTTACTCAAAAATTATTAAAATATAATATTTTCAATCTTATTAAAATTTATTTTAGAAAAACATCGACCTATTTGATGGCTAAAGCTTAATTACTTATATCTTCATTTCAATCAAAGTAGTTTTTTTTTAGGCCAAGAGAATACTTCATTCAAAATGAAATCCATAGCTAGAACATTAGATAAAGCTGAAAATTTAATAGTATTATCACCCGCCCAATTAGGCACACATCCTTATAGTAGTGCATAATGTCCTCAGCCAAAATAGCTTGGAGCTCGGCAGGAGCTTGCGTAAAGAAAGTGATCCCTGGAGGAGAGTTGAGGCCAATTTTCGCAATGTAATCAGCAACATTATTCAGATTTTTGCTGATGCAATTCAACCGAACCAACCAGCCATTTTGCATCATAGCCTTCAACTCCCACTAGCATAAAAATAATTTTTTATAATAATTAAAAATAATTTTTTACAACAATTAAAAAGTCAATGTTGTTTTAGAGGATGTAAAATGTCCCATCTTTTTATATCAATTATACACCCAAGATAAAAACTAAACTTTTTACATTGATTATAAAGCCAATGTTAAAAATTATATACAAAAAATTAAAAAAATTACCTAAAACTTTTTACATTGGTTGGGCTTCCAACCAATGTAAAAATTCACTAATTTACATCGATTAACAGCTCAACCAATGTAAAATCTTGAGCTTTTACATCAGTTTTCAACTGATATAAAAAGTCATTATTTTACATCAATTATTATCATAAATGCTGTAAATATTTTTTTATACTATATTTATTTTATCAATTTTACTCATTCCTATGTATAAAAATTGTCAAAGCCAAATTAGACAGCTCAATTTGTTTACAATTATCTATTAAGTGTTTATCAACTATACAAAACTATTTAGCTATTAAAAAACTAATAATTGTCTAAATTGTGTCAACTATCAAAATTAAAACTTGTTTAAAACTAACAAACTAAATAAATTATATGAAACATTTTATAAACCTCACAAATTCTCTCCAAAATAGGTTGCCCAACGTATGCGAGTGTCTTCAATTTTAGCTTCAAGAAATACATTTGAATTGTCGAATATCTAAAATATGATTCATAAAATAGGTGTACTAATCAATCTCAAATTACATAATAAAATAAAACTTTTAAAAATGTATTTACTTATTTTATAAATTCGTTTATGCCCAATGTAATGATATTGAGCATGTGTCTCATGACATATAGACTGCACAAGTTCATCTTCACCGATTGTCTACAACTTTGTATAAGAATAAATTATAAGAAATTAGTAAGAAATATTAATAATTGAACATATTAATAAAGTATTGTAACATCCCAATTTAAATTTTAATAGTTAATTTGGGTTAATAGAAATTTTAAAAAATATTTAGAGGTAAATAAATTAGTAGGAAATGATTATTAAATCTAACTTAGGATATAATTCTAAATTAAATTTTTTTAAAAAAATTAATTAAAAAAATTATTATTAATTAATTAATTAAAAAATATTATTAAATTATTATTATAAAAAAAAGGTATGCAAAAAAAAGAGAAGAAGAAAAAGAGAATTGCTTTCGGCGGCCACATCAATAGTAATATAAAATAATAATAAAAAAAGGGAGAGAGAGAAAAGAAGAAATAATAATAAAAAAAGATGTGGGACCCACTGAATTTTTATAAAAACTCACCCGTTTCCTTTCATTTCTTCAATTCTTTTCCTGCGCGCGAGCTGAATCGGAGAGAAGCGAGTCGCCGGTGTGAAATATCTAAATTTTTAAGGTAAGAGTTTTTAATAGGATATTTAGGGTGTAATTTTAAGCTTTTCAAGACTAAGTAAGTGTTCTAAAAATTTTTCTTAGTCATCCTTCTTTTTTGGTTTCTGAGTTTGTAGTGGTAGAAAATTTAAGATCTAGAAGAGGGATGAATTTATGTTGAATAAATATGATTTTTGAGGTTGTCAGTAGTATAATAAATGTTCTAGAGTATAAATTTGTTGATGATCTTTGAATTTGTGGCTTATGGATCAAATTATAAACTAGATCTGAAAATATATGTTGATTTATTGAGGTTTAGATGATTATTTAGGATGAGAAATGAATTATTATGGTTATAGGATTATGATTCTAAGTTAGAGACTCAATTTTTAATTTTTGGGTATTTTAGGTATGAATTTATGAAATAAAAAGAAAATTTTGATAATAGAAATTAATTTAGAAGTTGATTTTTAGATTATTAATGTTTATTAATAATTAAAAGAGGAGTTAAAAAATTTTACTTAATAGTATTAACTCTAGATTTGTATTAAGATTGAGATTAGAAATTATGTTATATTTTTAATTCTATTATTAGAATTATTTTATTAGTTTCAAAAATTAAAACTAATATTTGTAAATAATATGTTATTTGTAAATTGTATTACTGGTGAATATTGTGGTGAGAGAAAAATTTTAAGGAATAATTTATTAAAAAAGCCACAAGGTAACCATGCTTTTAATTTGTGATTAGTGTTACTTCATGTTAATTGGGTGATTATTGAGAAAATTATGAATTTTGTAATATTGTATAATTGTGCAATATTATTATGAATTTGTTTGATTATTGTGGGAGGTGTTGGGAGACTTGCTATTGTTGTTGTATTTATGTGCCACGTGGTACGCCCCTATTAGAACTCAATAGGTGGCTTGTAAGGGCTCGGGCTAATCTACCTTTAGCCGGGTAATTT